GATGGTGTTTTCTGTTTTGTATTTCGCTTAACCCTCTCATTTCGTCATTCTTTCTTTTCTCTGGTCATATAAAATCCCTGTTTGCATATCCTCTTTCAACCAGATTTGTCATCCTAACAATTCCCTTATTAATGAGTTAAGTAAAACTTTGACATGCTCACTATCTGTGTGACAATTGTGTTTTTCCTATTTTGAGAGTTATTCTCTGATAAGGGCTGGGGGAGAGGGGGAGGACAGCTGGCGGCTCCCAGCCTTGGGGAAGGCGGGCCGTGAGGCGAGGCGAGAGACACTCCAGTGTTGTGTAGCCTCGTTCTGAGCCCCTGTGTTTCCCAAGAAAGTGGGAAACGGGTAAGACACCAGGAGCTCAGTTTTGCTGTATTTGGCCATCCTGGCTGGGAAAAGGTTAAAGTGATAAGATGCCTTCTCCATTTTCCAAGGACAGATTCTTGGGCTTCTTGCCCATCGACAAGCTAGGTATTCATTCCTGACATGCAGCATTTCCAGCAGCCGCCCCTTTTCTCTCTAAAGATTTCCCCTTTTAATTCTCTTTCAAGGAGAGTTTTCTTGACAGATTGGACCAGCACCACTGAGGTCAAGCAAATATTCTCAAGATCCAACCTTAGTCAGGGAGCTTTCCTGTATTTGTTTAACTGACTTTCTGGCATTATCTGGGGTTTTGATTATCCGCACGCCTCAGACCTCCCTTACTACCTGCCAAGGAATGGGCACTGCTGGGCATCCGTCCAAGCATTACACGTGAGGAAAGACCATGCCAGCGATGGAGCCAGGGCCTGTGTAAATTGGAATTGGAGTCCTTATTCTCCAGGAACTGGAAGTCATCATCTTCATTCAGGGTCCAGGACCTGAGAGGCAGTGCGAGCAGTGGGCTGCACTGGCTGGTTGAACATTCTAATCAGCTCGCCTGTCAATCACCATGACAACTTACACTCAAATATACACCAAAAGGAGAAAATCTGGATCAGCTGGTCACGCTGAAAAACTAGAAGCAAGTAGCTGTCATGTTCTAGATTACAAGGAAGAAAACTGTTGAAAACCATCTACATCTTTTCCCTTAATTTGTTTTCAAATCTAGACTCCCTTTTCTTCTATAGTCAAAGTACTAATTTTGCACATATTTTCCCAAACTAATATTATACAGGAGAACTGATGCTCGAAACACTTTACTATAACTGTATAGGTTTTTTAGAACAGCGTTTTAAATTTCAGGTTCAAGAAGTTTTCTAAGACATGCAGATCCGTAGAAGTCAGAATTTGACTCTGTTCAGAAGCAGTGGTTGTGAGTAGTTTGGGTTTTTGGGTCGTCTCTGCCTGGTTTGCAACAGGCTGTGAACAGGGACAAGGAGCTGTGACTGGCGTGAGAATGAGGATGGGAGTGTTTGCGGGTCTGTGTCTGAGTGGTTCCCTGACCCCCGCTGGTTCTGGGGTGGCCACCTCCCTCTCCTCGGCAGCCACCACCCTCCAATGGCAGCTCCGACTACTGCCACCTACACCTGTGTGGCTGGTGTCCCCTCCAGCTCCAGTGTTGACAAAGACTTCCTCGACCAAACTCTGCTCAGACTCCTCTGAAGTGTCAGCTCAGCCTCGGCTTTTGGACTTCCGTGTCTGTCTCTTCCTTGTGCAGTTGAGGCAAGATTCCGGCTAAGCTGGGCTAGTTAGAATCCCCTATCCTCCAAATCTGATCACCCTCGATATCTAAGTGGGTTCCTCATCCCCTGTGGGGATGTCTGATTGCTCTGACCTGCCTTCCAAAAGAATCCTGTGAGACCAGTTTAGCCAGAATCCCCCCACCCCGACCCTGAAGTTTTGTCTTAGAACTTTTCTGTCTCCTGAGCCCACCCTGCTGCTTGCCTATAAGCTTCCACTTGCCCCTGCTGTATTTGGAATGGAGGTCACCCCTCTCCCCGCTGCAGCCGTCGAGATGGTCCCCCTTGAATAAAGGCTTCCTCTCTGTCTCTAACAAGGGTTGTGGTAATTGTTTCTTGAACGGTGCTGGTTGTCTCTGCGGCTGCTGCAGGCTGTTCAGCCCGCACCACCACCCACCACCACACGCCGCTTTGCTGCCTGAGACGAGCCCCGCGGGGCTGGAGTTCCCTACAATAATCTCCCCCACGCTCTCTCTTCTGTTCAGGCTCCAGGCCTCAACGAAATGGGATTTCAAAGGAAACTCAGTGCTGTCTTCATTATGGGACCACTCCTTAGTGATCCCCAGACTCACAGGCCTTCACAACAACATGTGGCATATCCAGAAGTGCTCATTAGAAAGTCTTTTTGAATGAAAAAGGCGTAGTTTGGATTCTAGCATCATTCTAAGGTGTCCCTCTCTGGCCACCTTCAGGTTCCTTGGGGCGGGGACCGGCTTTCGTCCATTGACGTGTGTTATGTGGCAGGGATGGTGCTGCTTGTTTTGGATTAAGCAGGTGGCAGATGGTCAAGGTCCCATCATCAAGCACTTGCTGTTACAAGTGGGCGAAGCTACCCTTTGCCTTTGGCGAAATAGCTAAGCCAGGCCCCCAGCCGTGCGTGAGGAAGCGCCCCGCCCCTGCCCCCTCCTCCCTGCCTGCTCGCGGCTGTCCTCTCCCCCACTCCGCAGACTGGAAGGAACGCTTTTGGGGACAGGTTGGCACAGCAGCCACAGAGCCTCACTATAAATAGGACCCCTTTTGGATATTGGATTTATGCATTTTCATATATATAGAGGAATTCATAGGTTCATTGTTTATTTTTAACTTTTATGGAATCCACACTTGGCTTCCTAACTCTGCTGTCCTCAAACTCTGGCTCAGGCCTTACGCATGTCCCAGCTGGCTCATGACAGCCGTTTCTGGGCTGTCTTCTCCCATTCATTCATTTGTTTATTTATCCATTCTTCTAGGAGTTTTCAAAGTATTAAAAATACAGATTTAGTAAGAAATCAAGTCAGGTCATTTCCCCGGTCGTCCAGTGCACTCCGGCGTTCGTCGATGGTTCTAACGTTAAAAGTCTGACTGGGCGTGTCCCCACAGTACACCAGGCAGCCTAGAGGCGTTCCTTGGGCAACTCAGTATCAATTTGGCTCCAGGAGGGCCTGAAACCCACGTTAGCACCATCTCATTTCTATTGCTATTGGCTTCTTAGAGGAAAAGCTACACAGCCGAACTGTTCGCAAGAAATTAGTGAAAATGCTTTCAGTTCCAAGCTCCACACAATACCTAGTCATGGTACTTTTTACTGTTCTCACTTGTACCCTTTGGGGTCACAGGTTATCAGTCAAGTTAATAATGACAGTGTTGCAATATTAACTACTAACATTTATTAGTCACTGTGTCTAATGTTATGCTAAGTGTTGTAAATATTCTTTTAGTTAATCCTCAGACCTGTTACTGTCTCCATTTTCCAGTTATGGAAATTGAGTGCCGTGTTAGCACACAGGACTGACATTCAGAACTCTGGCCCTCCAAAGTCATGGCTATGCTGTGCTTCCTTCCATCACCAGAGTCCCTTATGCTCCCTGGCAACGCACTCCTGGCTTCCTGCCCTCTTTCTAAGGCACTGCTTAAGTGGCATCGACATTGAGAAGCCTGAATCCACAGCAGCACACCCGAGCGCTCCCCGCCGCAGCTTGGCTCCTTACCTTTACCTGATCCTGTTGCTGGACGGGTCTCTAAGGAGACTGTCAGCTCCCTGAGGGAGGAAGGAAGGGAGGGGCCTGGGCCCTCACCTCCCCTCTGCCCTCCAAGTTCTCCCTCAACATGTCCCTGTATTGTTGGCAGTGGCCTGAGGAAATCCATGTCCTGATCCTAACGCGGGCCCCAGCTCCTCCTCAGCGCTGAGGTTGTTTGCAGGGGAAGGCTGTTTGTCACTAGGATTTAGGAGGACTTTGACTTCCTACGGGGTCCACAGGGCTTCCCGGGCCACCGCTGTTCAGAGGTCAGCACTCCAGCCACAGCGCCTAAGGGCACTCTGTCTTTTTAATGGTGCTGTTTACTCAGTTAGGAGGCAATTTTCCTAAAGTTGCTGAAAGTTCTGCTCTGTCAAAGATAAGTGTCTCCCAACTGAGCCTTTTTGTTTGCATTCACCCCTGGCCTCTCCCCTCTGCCTTCTGTTAGTTCACAGGAAGCCAGAGAGGATGTCAGAGATACTCCACTAATTCACAGCCAATTAGGAAGCTTTGCTTTGAAGCTGACTGGAAGGTCAGGCCGGAGCCTTGCCCCCTTAAACTCCAGGGAATTACAAAAACTTCCTTCAGTTGCTTAGCAAATAGAATTTTGAAACTAATGGTGGAAACACTTCCCAATTTGGGCAAAGCTGGTTACAATGGTCCATCCGCTAGGCTTTATTAGCAGAACAAATGTTGGCTTTCTGTTCAGTAGCTTTGGGCTAAGCCCCCAGATCTTTAAGAGTTTTCTTCACATCTAACTCTACTTTGTTTTAATCTGCTTGTGGAAACTGATCTAAGGTATACAGCGGGAAGGGACGTTATTTTCTTCGTTCTTTGGTGATGGTGAAGTGGCTTTTCCCCAAGTTTGAATTTTGGTCTAATGCTTATTTTTCTCTCCTCGGGATGCTGTCGGTTTCATCTTGAATTGTCTTAGGAAGGAGTGATTTGGTAGTTAGACTGAAAGGTTTCTTGAGTAGGAGCCCCCCGGGTTGTTGTAGTTCACTGAGAAAGTGCTTTTGACTTTTAAGAGAATGTAGATTAGCATGGCTGTGGGCTACGTTAGCCAACAACAACGCTTACGCTCAGTGAAAGTTTTGTTCTGAGGGGAGGTTAGAGGTCCCAGATGGTAAGCCAAGAAGCCTGCTTGTTCTTTGCTGTTGGCTGTAGGAAAACTTCTCTTCCTGCCTCAAGACTCTGCCTTTCTCATGGGGTGACCCACAGCCTCCAAAAGGTTATTCTATCGAGTGTAATTTTCATTTGGTTCTTGCTGACCTGCATGCTTAGACAAACAAGCAAAGAAAACCAAAAAGCTCCCGCAAGGTTCAGGGTGGGACTCTTTTACCTGGCGCAATGTCGAGAGAGTGGCTGTCTATTTCCAGATCGAGCTGTTGGGCTGCCGCCGAGCGAAAACCCTCCAAGACCCCGTGCACCGCCTCGGTGAGGTTATATGGCACCGACCTGGCGAACCTCACTCTGCTGTTCACGATCACGCTCCCGTTTCTGAAGTTCAGTATTTCGAGTTGCTTAAATCCCGTAAGATTGGATCGTAGATATGGAACCAGCTGCAAAATCAAAGACGGTTTACTCTTAACGCTGTTCTAAGTGCTCAGCTGCTGCTAATTCATTTATATTCGCTTTTCATTATCTGAGGCATCAATTTCAGTTCCTTTCTTATTGCTTCTATTTTTGCGGTTGCATTTAACGTGAGACCAGAAGACCACCATTTAATGATCTATTTGCAGTGATTACACCCCATATTTCCACCTTTCTATCTGTGTATGGAGATGGATGGGCAATGGTTTTCTTCATGATGCATTGTGAGAACAGAGGATTTTTACAAATCCAGGCCAATGCTATCAGCAAAGCAGGAATGCCAGGTTCAGTTATTAAAAAAAAATCCAAGCAAATAAAAACATGTTCCAAGCTGAGCCCTAGAGCAGACTGACCTATGCCGGTCTAAATGGACATCTATTTGGAAGCAACCAATTTGAAATCACCTATCGAAATACACAGCAGCTTGAACGCCCACTTGTCTGTCTATGCAGGACATGTTTCATGGTCAACACAAATGCGGTGCCATGGAAACAGCAGGGACCTGGCAGGCAGGAGACTTGGGTGTCAGTCCTGGAACTGTCCCTAACTTGCTTGGTGACCTTCCTCAAGCCACTTAACCATGGTGTTGTACCTCAGTGCCTTATTCGAATAACGAGGGAGAAGAAAAAGTGGTTCCCTAAGGACCTTTTCCAAACTATAATTTAATATTCTCACACGTATGCCTGGGGCAGGTTCCCACACCTGCGTCTTGGGAGCCACAGCCATCCTTCAGATCCTCATTCAGAAGTGCTTGATGCTCAGCGACGTCGCTCTGTCCTGACCCTGAAAGTGACCCCTCCTTCGTGAACCAACACCTCGAAGTCAGGAGCACACAGTGTGAGCTGAACTCTCCCAGGCTTGGTCCAGACCTGCTTGTTCTTTGTCTCTGTCTCCACCCCACCAGAATTGTGACTCTGACCCTGACCCACATTTTGATACCCTTCTCCCCACAAGGTTATTGTGAAAATAAAATAAAATTTTACACCAAGTGTGGAACTTCTCTTCTCAATCCACTCTCTCCAGATCTCTCCCACTCACCCTGATGGGCTCGTTCTTTGTGTCTTAGCACTGCTTTGGCCTCTGGTGGGAATTCCCCATCTTCACCTCGTGTGCAGACGACTGGCTGCTCCCTTCTCCCAAATCCATTCTCCTCTTCTTCATGCGAAAGCGGCTGCCTAGCTGGAGACCACATTTCCCAGCCTCCCTTGCAGCAAAGTGTGACCACGCGACCAATGGAATATGAGTGGAAGAGATGGCGGCAACTTTGATATTGCTTGCCTAGGAAATTGCTTGCTCTGGGCTTCCTCTCTTTCCCCTTCTCACAAGTGGAAACAGAGATGTCCCAGTGACCCAGCTTTCACTGTGTGAATGAGGAAACGCCCTTGGGGTTGGCAGAATGCAATACAGAAGGCACGCGAGCCCCTGGATGACACGGCAGAGCAAAGCTGTTCGACCCACAAAGGGAAAGAGACATAAACTTGCATCTTATTTAAGTGACTGTATTTTTGATCTCTTCATTAAGGCAGCTTAGCATGCAGCCTAAGTAACACACCTGGGCAAGGTGCACTTGGACTCTGGCCCTCACATTGTTCCAGTATCTGCTCACTTCATTGTGGGGGGGGAGGGGTGGAAAGACGGCACAAAGTCTTCCTTCAAAGTCAAGTCTTCCTTTAAACTTCACTTGAAGAATTGGTTTTTATGTGGTTTTAATTTGCATAATAACGTATATGAACCTTACAAATATGTTTTCTGTTATTTTTAGAAATTCTGCAATCTGTGTGATATGATGGTGTACTTGACTCTCATTCACTGGGAGAGGCAACGCGTAGTTCACGTTTCTTATTGTACGTGTATTTCTTATTGTACATGTAGAAACAAATGTGAGTTTTCGGGATGTTTTATAATCACAGATGTATGCTATTATGACCATCTTCTCAGTTTCTTTGTTAAGGATCAGGAATGATAAGCCACTTAGCCATTTTTTAGGTTTACAGGAACTTAATGGGAACCAAAAAAGGAGCCCGTACCCCTGAACTCTCAGTCTCATCTGTGTTGGACCATTCTAGCTTTGTACCTTTGTCAGATGGCTGGAAAACAGCTTGTGGCATTACAACTTAGGAAAAGTCCGCTTATATCACTTTTAAATTCCAAGTTCAGTACTTGAGTGACTATGTATTATTCCTGGGAAAACTAATTTAGGAAGAACTATAATAAAAAGATCTTAAGGATGAGTTTGTTCTCAAGAGGCTGGTCAGCAGTGTCTGTGTCCATCACGGAACTCACTTGCTTATTGGATCTAAATGCATCTCCACACTCTAGCTGAATGCCATCTCAGAGGCGTGTCTCTTCCAACCTGAATTGCTCAAGACAGCCAGTGATCATATTACACAGTAACAACAAAAAAACAAAGAAGAGACAGAGACTTGTAAGCAGTGCCCACTCACCAGCTGTGTGAATCGTTGCTCCAGAGCTTGGTACTCCAGAGAGCTCTTATTGAATAGATCATTGGAGAAGGGCATGTTGGCGACACGCAGGCTGAAGAACACTACCAGCTCCTGGCCCTTGGCAGCGACGGTCATAGAGCTAGTGGTGATGTACTGTGAAGTTGGGACTGGAGTGGTATTCTCCAAGAAATGATCCGGGCTGGAAACATATCCACTGAGTCCTGGTACCTCAGAGGCGGCAGGCATGCTAGACAGCTCCATTCCATCGAAGTCTCTGACTATATCTTGACTGCGTGTACTCGCCCTGCTGTCTTCTGAAGGAGCAGGTGAATATAAAATTTCCAGAGCTGACTGATTGACGGCAGAATAATCACCTGTGGGGATGGGTAGCCCGGGGCTTTGTACTGTCTGGTCAATGGACATGATGTCGATGGTACTTTGATCAGTCAGAGAGAAGATGCTCGAAGCAGTAAAGAAAGGTAGAGTTTCTGATAGGGAGGTAGAGGCCATAGTAGGTGAAGACCCAGAACCATCTGTGGAGGAAGCTCCTGAGACCGATTCATTATGTCCATGTGTTTCCCCAAAGAGTGGAAAGCAAAAAAGAAAATCCAAAGTTAAACTTAACTTAACAAAATGCATTTGCATTGATTAGTTTAATATCATCTTTTAAAAAACAAGAAAGGGCAAGCAACCTAAGGAGACAAACAGAGTCCCTGTGCTCATTCTATTCAGGCCCGATACTTCTGGGTAGATGAGACTTAAAGAGCACCAGTGACCTAGAATTTCTGGAATTACTGCCCAGCCACACACACCACACCTAGGGACCACCTGGTAAAAACTGACTATGTTACCAGGTGGTGCCAAACCACAGGTGGCATTGGAATAGATTTGGATCCCACATCCCCACCCAGAACTCCCAGCCAATTAGTTGTGCAGTTTTGGCCCTGAAATTTTATCTACTTTCCAGTCCTGCCAGGCTGAATTTTATGCAATTGGAGTTTTTGGATCCCAGTTATCACATTTTGGTAGTTTTACCAATTACAATTTAAATTTATGCTTTTCCAAAATTGGATATTCTGACTGAATAACTTGCAAATTTTCAAAATGATATGGCAAGAGTAAAGGTGTGAGTTGCATATATAATTTGAAGTTTATATTGACCATACAACTTGCTAAATATTTGATAATATTTCAAGATTTTGTCACTTTTACGTGATTATACCTCGGTAATTTCTGCCACCCCTTTGCATTGCTTTCTTGGGTACACATTGATCCACTGCAGTCCACTGCCTTTTTGGTGCAAAATTAAAATCAATAAGTATTTATGAACCAAGAAAGTGGTTATATGAAACTTCCAGATAAAGAGATTGGTGGGTTATTAAAATACTCCAATAAGCCTAAATCCAGAGCCACTGACAATATTTAAGGCATTAGGTGGATCCAAACAGGGAGCTTCCTGTGATTACTTCAGTGGCATTTTGGCACGTCTACGGGAAAGCTGTGCTGAGATCCAAAGACTAAGCATGATGAATGGACTGTCTGGGCGCAGATACCATCTTTGGACTCTCTGTCAGCTAATTTACTAGACTGCAATCACCCGAACTGAAACTCCAAGTGATAAACAGCCCTGAAAAGTGGAATCATATTAGTTTTATTAGTTTCCAAAATAAAATCTGCCTGTTGGTGAATTGTACTCAGATTTCAGAGGAGCGCCCTTTTATCTCTCATCTGGGGAGGTGTCTAGTCTGTTTACCTAAAATTCACTCAACTGTCAGAATGATGTTTCCTAACATCCAAGATCTCTCTGGACATACACTTGTAGCAGTATTCAAATCTCCATTGCTGTGGACTGAATGTTTGTATCCTCCCCAAATTCATAGACTGAAGGCTTAATCGCCGAGGTGACAGTATTTGGAGGTGGGGCCTTTGCGAGGTGATTAGGTTGTGAGACTGGAGCCCTTGTGGATGAGATTAGTGCCCCTAGAAGAAAAGGCACAAGAGAGATGATCTCTCTCCGCCATGGGAGGACACAGCAAGAAGGCTGTGAACCAGAAAGAGGATCTCACCAGGAACTGAATCAGCCCGCAACCTGATCTTGGACTCCCAGCCTCCAGAACTGTGGGGAATAAATCTCTGTTGTTTAAGCCCCCAAGTCTGCGATATTTTGTTATAGCATCTTGAGCTGACTAAGACGGCCATGGAAGGATCTGGGATGAGTAAATCGAAAGGCTTCAAGTGCTCTCCGTGATTTGATTTGACTCCTTTGTGCCACAGGGGAAATGCATCTGAATCTGTGTTCCTGTGATGTGATCTCTGTGCCCCCCCAGAAAAGGGTCAGTGAGGAAGCATAATGATGGACATCTTCATCTGGCTCCTGGGCCAGCATCTCATTATTCACGGCTTTCTCACCATACAGACTTTAGTCAGAGTAAAATAGTCTGCTGCATTATGTCATCAACCAACAAAAATGACTTTCTAACTCTTTCCCTTTGTGGCATCTTAACATTAATCACTCACATTCACAATAAACCTAGCCAGGTTATTTCACTGGTGGAGCAGTTGGCTATTTAAATGTAGCGTTGCCAGATAAAATACAGGATTCCCACGAGAATATACTTCTACTAAAAAATTATTTGTTGTTTTTCTGAAATTCAAATTTAACTGGTCATCTTATATTTTTCTTTGCTGAATCTAGCAGCCCTATTTATTTATTTATTTTCTTAAAGATTGGCACCTGAGCTAACAACTGTTGCCAATCTTTTTTTTTTTTTTCTGCTTTTTATCCCCAAATCCCCCTGGTACACAGTTGTATATCTTAGTTGCAGGTCCTTCTAGTTGTGGCATGAGGGACGCCGCCTCAATGTGGCCTGATGAGCGGTGCCATGTCCGTGCCCGGGATCTGAACTGGTGAAACCCTGGGCCGCCGCAGCAGAGTGTGCAAACTTAACCACTCGGTCATGGGCCTGGCCCTCTAACAGCTCTATTTAAATGTGATTTTAAAGACTCCTTCTACTCTCTCTTGGCTTGATATTGAAACTACTAAGGGTATAGTCAATTCCTTTGAAGTAAGAATATTATCCAAACCTTACCACCACTTATAAGTGTATTTTAAATAATTATGTTTCCATCAGATTCTTATGTAAAAATTAGACATGGCAGGGACACAGGCTGTTCCAACATTAAGTGTTTTACACTGTAACGGAGAAGTCAAACACTAAAGGCCAAGGCCATTCATTATGAGATGTGCAAAATAAGCAGACCCCAAATAATGTGAGCTTCAGCTGTTATGATAGAAGGTGTGTGGGGTTCCCGTGAGGGGGCAAGGTGTGTTCATAGGGACTTGTGCACGGTGGGGGTGCTGGTTAGAAGCCCAGCTGCTGGGTGCAGAGTAAAAGGCTGTTTTGGTCACTTTCTGGGCAGGAGACTTGTCCAAAAGCAAAGGCCATAGATGAAATGGTTCAATCCAAAATAGACAAACTCAGGGCCAGCTGAGGCCCAAAGTGAGATAAGCTGGTAAGGGGTGAAGATGGGTACAGTGGGGGCAGCCAAAGGCCCCATCAATAGCCAGAGAAAGGTAAGCAGAAGATGAGCAAGGAGGGAGGGACAAGTGCAGATGAAAGGCTATTTTTAATGCTGCTAGAAAGGGTCACATGTGTACATATACACACTACATCATAAATATCAAGTGGTTGCCTATTTTAAGTTTAAAAATCTAAAAAGAAAAGATTCCACAATCTTTAGATCTTCAAGTGGCATGACCAGCAAGTTCTTAATTCTGTATTAAACAAACCCATTCTTATTGATCACAACAATAACGTTATTATCTTCCTTTTTGGAATATTATAGATACAGAACATAAATGCTTATTATTCATTCATTCAACAAATAGGTATTGACAGCCTACTATGTGCCAGGCACCGTTCTAGGTGCTGGGACACATCAGTGAACAAAACAGATAAAAGTTTCTGGCCCCAAGGAGCTCACCATCTAGTGGAGAAAGATAGAAAGTAAATAAAATAAACAAAGGGGAATATATGGTATAGCAGGTGGTGGTAAGTGCTCTGGAAATAAAATGAAGCAGGAAAGGGGTTGGGAAGGCTGGGTGTGCAATTTTCTATAGGGTGGTCGCTGAAAATATAATATTTGAGCAAGACCTGAAGGAAGTGAGAGGATCCAGCCATGCAGCAAATGCTGATGAGAAACTCAAAGGAAGAAGGATATTTTTCATGTTCTAGAAACAGCTAGCTGGGAAGGTAGCACGGCTAGAATGGAGATCTATACCATCAATCAAGTGTGAGGGCGACTCAAGATATTTTCAAACACACAAAGTCTCAAAAAATTCCTCCCAGGCACCCTTTCTGAGGATGTGTTTACCTGAAATGATTGGGTTAACCAAGAAATAGGAAGAAATGGGATACTGAAAAAGAGTTAGAGAAATCCCCAGGAATATGGTAAAGGGGTCTCTCAGGGAGATAGGGACCCCAGGTGTAAAAGGCAACCAGTTAAGACTGGATCAGTCTGGAGAGCCAGGTATATGGAATGCTTGTATCATCAAGCCTGCTGCCATTGTACCAAATTTTTTAACTTGATAAAACTGCTAAAGGATGTGCTCCACAAAACAAGAGCGTAAGCCTGGAGAGAGAAAGCCTGAGATCTAGGGATCAGGGAATCCAATGCGGGAGAAGGGCCAAGGAGATTCTGAGGAGGATAGCAAAGGGAAGGCCCAGGTGACAGTCATCCAGAAAGCCTTGAGAGGAACAGTCCAAAGAGAAGAGAAGGGGTCTCTGAAAATTGGACATGGCGGGTTACCTGATGTGGAAAATTATACTGGAAATTTCAATGGAAAATTTGAGGAGAATTGGCAATAAGTGCAAAGAAAACTAAGCAAATGGAAAAAAAAATCAAAGAAAACATTGACTTGAGGAAAAAGAAAGCAGACCTCGAGCAAATAGGTCAGCTGTGAATAATATATAATGTAAACACTGAATTTTGATTTAATGATAGTTATCACCATATTGAGAGGGGATGGTATCATAAGAAACTGAAATTCTTATTTAAAATACTAGAAAGTAAATAATATATAAAACTGATGACTCAAAAGGTATATGTTATTCAAAAATATAAGAAGAGTAAATGCCAGAAAAAATAGCTAATTGAGTTAAAGGGACTACTTTTGGTAAGTGGAACTTCACAGCGGGGAGGTGTGAGAGAGAAAAATGATGTATTTGTCAGAATACTCTAATATGATTTGACTTTTAAAAAAATAAACCTTTTATTTTGAGACAATTGTATACTCCAATGCACTTGTAAGAAATAACAGAGAGTAGCACCAGTGAACACGGCAGAGTGAGAAACGCCAAAGTCAAGTCGTTAAGTAGCTGTGATGTAATAAGAAATATAGATTTGGTGTCTGCCTCCAGCTCCCGACAGAGAGCTCCTAAATTTCCAATGCTTCGGAAGGTATGCAGTGAAACTCGTTCTGTTCCGGGGAGAAACTGGGAGCTGGGTGATTTTTGCCTGCTCCCTGTGTGCT